TATTCAATGATTTCAATTAAAATTCAATCGGTGCAGTCGATGTTGAGACTTTACAACTTAATATTGCAGTTTTGCGCAAATAAAATCACGGGCGTCTGTCTCACACATTGATAACTGAACTGAGTGAATAATGTAAATTATGTATTTTTTTTTTCGACAATTATAAAAATTGTGTAAATTTGTCTTTATGCTATATAAGAGAAAATTATATTTGCTGATATTGTATCTATCATAGAATATACATCCTGAATAGAACTAAATTTTATACATTTTTGTAAGGATGGGAAGTTTGGACGATTTTGGACTGTAATGCAATCTGTGTATGATTCACAAACTATGGATTTGGAGAAAATCAATGTGAAAGATCTGATGAATCGTTGGATACAAGAAAAGCAATATCCTATTCTTAATGTAACGGAAACTTTTCGTTTTGAATGGACAAAAATTGTTCTAGAAACTGCTTCCGAAAACTGGACGGTATCGTTAACACATCAAGTGTACATAAATTTAAAACAAATTTTACCCATATTTTGTCTATCCAGGGAACAAAAGCACTTTCTTACAACGTGTTACAATTCTGAACACAGTCGGTTTATAATAATCAATCGGCAACAAACAGGTAAATGACGATCAAATATTTAAATGTAAAATATCATTAATTTATTTATTCTGAAAACTTGTTAACTATAAAAAAGAAAAAATTATTGACTTATTTTTGTAAAGTTCTTAAATAGGATATATATGACTTTAAGATTGTATAGCTAAAATAATTTAGAATTGTCTATCCCTTTTAGTGATTTTAATCCATCTACAGTTATTCTTTTCTTAAACAAATTATATTAATTTAATAATCATATTTATATATTTGATGAAATACTTTGATATTATTCTCTTCTGATATGCAACATTTATAAACAAAGGTTTCATATTTATTATATTGTTTATTATATATAATTTATTATATTGTTGTAAAGAAGTGGTCAACTTAATGATCCGTAACATAAAATTCAATATTACATTAGTATGTAAATATGAATTTTTTATTATTTATAATAAAAGCTAAATTATTAATTAATATTTTAATTTGAATTTTTGATCATATTTAAAAATAAAAATAACATTTAATAATATTCAATCTGTAATTAATATCAATTACATTATAATTTAATATAATTTAATGACAAATCGTAATTATTTATTTCGCATGACAGGATATTACCGGCTATATTATGATTTGGAAAATTGATTAAGAATTATAAATTATCTTAATTCCAAGAATTATACAAATATTAATGTTTTAAATCGTGCTCAAATCATCGATGGTACATTCCATTTAGCGATATCAGGCAAATTAAATTTTTATGTATTTTGGGATGTCGTAAGCTATCTAAAGTGGGAAACGGACTACATATCATGGTATCCTGTGTTCAAAGCTGCAGAGTACATGTCACAAATTCTATGTTTGATAATGTCGATAATAAAATATTCAAGATAAAAGCGATTTCAGTAAAGAAAATTCTGACAACTCATGTTGTTATGTTCCAAATATTAATATTAATTTACTTTTAATAATTGTCTAAATTCTTCCTCTAAAAAATATGATGTAACTAATTTAGAAAAATAAAATTTTTACATTTTTACAAGAAATTCAATTTTCAATTTAAAATTTTTTAATTA